CCCCTAGTCCGAGCCTAACACAAGCCTCGCTGGTGAGAGCCGAGGGCAGCCCCGCAGGGTCTCTGTCTCACAGAGAGCGGTCGGCGCAATGCGACAGTGGCGAGGCCACTCGCATGCCAACGCCGCCCATAGCAGGGAATCGGGACTTGCGTTAAGTTCGCCCCTAGTCCCATCGCGAGGCTTGGTTAGGTCAGGGGTCTGTGTAGAATGATGTGGATTACTCAATGCGACTGGTTACCTTTTTTTATTACCTTGTTGTCGCGTCACTGGAGCGCACAAGTCTAATGTGAACGGGCAGGCTTAAATTTCCAGCTTCTTCGAGTGGAGCAGAAGAAGCAGTTGCTGCGACGCAATCGATTGTGTTCCTCACTGAGTGCACTTCTGCAATGCCTCTTCAAGCAAATGTTTTTTTCCAAACGCAGTGGATTGATGAAGGCATTTGGCATATTACCGAGACTGAAAACTCATCAGTTGGAATCGGAATGAAAAGATTTTGGTTGGTGGAGTAAATGCAGTTGATTTTATTAAAGAAGGTAGTGCTGAAAGAACATAGCTACAGGATACATTGTGATAACAATTGTGGAGCAGGCACAAAGACCACTTCTAGTCTAAGTGAAGAGTGAAAGAACATGATGAGGGAATTAATGTGGAACAAGGGCATGTTCAAAAGAGAATCTATGTAGACGAGAAAGAGCTAGTAGTTTAGTAGGAACTTGCAATGTCCGGACTAAAGTGATGGGGGCCAGAAGAAAATGAGTGTCTGTCTATCTCTGAGTGCTTAAGCATCGAAGCAGGTGAACATACCTAGACATGCGAAGGGAATTAATAGCTAGCGCAATCGGCGGTAGTGGAATCGGAGGAGTAACCGCCACCCGATTGACCGCAGCCCATTTGTTGACCACCACCGCCGGCGTTGTTGGTGCAGTCAGCTTTAGCCAACACGTTGGCGCTCAAGAGCAGTCCATTCTGGGAGACGCAGTCGAGCTTGCCACCATCACCGCCCGAGCCGCCGCCAAGCAAACCGTTGATCGGAAGGCCGCCGAGGAGGCCGTCCAAGCCTCTTCGTGAAAGGGACTCGGCGGGGCCGGAACCACCACCGTTGTTGTTGGTGCAGTGAACGGAAGTCAGAGCGTTCACGTTCAGAAGTGCGTTCTGCTTGATACAGTCGACTTGACCACCGTTACCTGACGAACCGCCAGCCAATCCGTCGAGTGGAAGGCCTCCCAGAAGGCCGTCCAGCCCTCTTGGTGAGACGGTCTCAGCGGAGACAGAGTTGAGGAGAGCGACAGAAAGGGCAATGGCGAGGGTGAAACGCATGGTGTGTGGAGTCGAGTGGGTAACTGTGGTGGTGTGTGTGTTGGGTTGGGTTGATTGTTCGAAATTGTACGGCGGGAAATGACTGGATGAGGTTGATGAGGAAACAGCAAAAATGTGGTTAGAGGATAGCTATTTATATTGTGGAAAGCTCCTACCAAGCACCACGCTTGCTCTGTGCACTGGAGTGTAACCTGTGGGCTCCGTTTGCCATGATCACATATCCTGGCGAGCCTTTGTCAAGGCTCATCTGGAGTCCAACAAGCGGTTGCCTTGACTGATACCTAGCTGGAGCCAGAGAGTCCGCTGCGAGTGACGACTCCATGCCCAGGTTGTCCAGGAAAGTCATCCGGGATAAGAGAAGAGCGGGCAAGCGTCGAGCTGAGCCTGGAGAGTCATGAATCCTTGCCCACCCAAGCAAGCAATCAACATAAACAATCTCGCGTTCCCTGCTGCAAGTGAGATTGATGACGACCCTCATCCACCCAGGATACTATCCCGGACCACCCGAACATCGGAAACATGATGTCAGCTATTAGCCCTACAAGCACTGTTGGGGGTTGCTCAATTCCCGAGCCATTATTTACAGCTGAAGGCTCATCATGACTCGTCATGACTGGCAAACGCACCATTTCGAGGTACTTCTTCAGGAAGTCACCAAGGACTGCCAACGAACGCTGTGAATAATTCTTGATGGGAGGAAGCAGTTTCTGTTGCTGTTACATACATCCCTTGGTTCCAAAATTTGATAAAGCCTTTACACACAGTCATTTGAAAGGGGCCGTCTGATTTGGAAGGCTTCTGACATCATATTCTCAGTGGATCTCTATATTTACTATTATCCTCATCTCAAGACTCTTGATAAGGTATGTTATCGACATCAAATTTGGCTTTTGGGAGAACAGGCACAAGCTTCAAATTGCAATTCTCTTGGAGTAACAATTGATGGTATGTAGTCAGACATTAATGGTAGTGAAAAAAGAGAGCCTTATTATTTTAGGAGGCAATTGAGGGGTGGGGGGGGGGGATGTGTGCATTAAGGATGAGGATAAAGAATAGGTATTAGGGCGCAAGATGATTGGTCAATCTTTGGACGGGTTATAAGTAAACCTTTTCGATAGTAATTAGAGTAAGAGAGGCAGGCGACAAAGAACGAGGTAAGACTAAGACCATCGAGGTGCCCACAGTTTGCCGATCCGGAAGCTTGAGAAGGAAAGCATGGTTTGATGTTTTGTTTTATTTTAGACTTTGTGTGTTGATTCTTCGTCTCCTACGACGGTCGATGGGCACATGGAACGGCTTTCCATTGCTGAAAAAAGATGCACACATCAAGCAAGATGAGTATATATAAAGGATAGCTCTAAAGATAAAGAGGGAGACTACTAACCTGCTCGATTAGATTCAGCAGCAAGCTTAGCCTCGGAAGTTTCGAACGACTTGGTGAAGTTCTCCTTCCTTTTGAGTTGCCGACGATAAAGGTAATATCCCAAGAGTAATAAAAGGGAGATGACGACGACGATGATGATGTCTATTAAGATTACTACGGTCTTGGCTGTTATGAGAGGAGTGTGGGATGTGCTAGGTGTGGTTTCATACAACGCTTGAGGTCTCGCAAAGTTCGTCTTGAGGTTCTCAAGATCCATTAAGTGGTCGATAATTATGGGCGACATGGTATAGGTAGAATTGGAGTTCTGCTCTGGATTGCAACTATAAATTATAAAGGAGCTAGTTATTAAAAAGACTGGAAGAGTGGGGGAAGGATGATGGGAGAGACGGAGGCAGAGTTGGAGGGCCGGCCGTTTATATAATACCAGCAAAGCTCAGAACACTACATCGGCTTTCCACCCAGTCGGTTCCAGAATTACCAGCCTTCTGTGTTGAGGGGATAGATGGCTGAAGTCCACCGTAGCGGGATGTTTGATATGTATTCAGTTTGCCCTACATCAACAGATGGCGGTCCAGTCAGAAAGTAAAAGGATGAATAACAACAACACCTTCCAATGTGAATAGTTCTTTCCAATGCCATTCATAAAAATCCTGGGACCAAACGTCTCCGATGTTGTCTTACTCAGTGGAATCCCTCACCAAGGGAAATGGGATTGTGGCTAGCAAGGCGTTTCCCCTTTGTATCAGAATGAGCGGATAGCTTAGACCGTTTAATGACCTTACAAGACCATTGTCCTCCACGTTATAGGGATAACATGTACATAAAAACTTGGCACATATTTACAAGGGTCAGCCTTTTTGCACTCCAAAGATTTCCCCCACGCACACCAAAAAACTAACTTAACAAAGTCCTCCCTGTGCAGGAGGTCGGTTTTGGGTAAAGCTTAAGTTTGGCTGACTTAACTAAGCCTCCCGGAACGGGGGTGCAGAGCACCCCGATGCGGAGCATCTCCCATTCCCAATGGGAGGCTTATGAGTTATTGCGGCTTCTCCGCTTGGGAGTTTTGATATTTTTGTGGCTTTTAGAGCAAATAATCAATCAAATGCAGATCCCTCTTCACTCACACCTCATGAAAACATGACCTTGAGATGAGGAGATAGGTGAGGATCTTGGCTTCAATGTGCCATAAAAAAATTGAGCATTACATATGATGGAGGGGTTGCCTCTGGGCTGGCAGGTCCGGGAACACTATCCCGGAAGTATGGATTATGCGGTTTTTGGTGAGAATCCAAAGCTGTAATAGAAGTGGCTGCAAAGCCACTTATCCAAACAAGTTTATAATCGGTAAGTTCTTTACAGGCGCCGAGTGACTTAACGAACCGTTATAAGTCCCAACAATCTGGACGTTCGTTCCCAATTGATAAGTGGTTGTAATATCGCTACCTATTCCTCCTCATCACTCCCTCATCTCAGGTCAATAAGATGCTCAATCAGGTCTCCGCATCAACCCGTAGAAACATTCGATCACCACGGCGGGTGTGGTCTGCGACTGGGATCAATGTCTACAAGAAAGTTTCTGATAAAAACGACGAGGATTTGAAGTCACACATTGCCAAAGTTTCCCTCGATTTTTACGGCCAGCCCTCAAAATTGTTGCAGGTGAACGCGGTTTTTAATCTAGTTCAAGGTCGCAACACATTTCTTCTTGCCGGGACGGGTTTTGGTAAATCAAGAATTGCGGAAATCTACTACAGACTAATTCCTCAGGTCAAAAAGGCTGTTGTTCTTGTGCTGAATCCGTTAGACTCCCTTGGCGATAATCAAGTTTATGAGAAAGAACAAGCGGGGTTTACAGCGATCAATTTGACCAAGTCGAACTTCAATGAAGAGACCGCCATCAACATTGAAAACGGAGTATACAATTTTGTGTATATGAGTCCGGAAACCTTTCTCAACAACAAGATATGGGATGCGGTATACTTCAGCAGCAAGTTCCAAAATCGGCTGGCTTTAATCGTTATTGATGAGGCCCATATGGTCTACATCTGGGGACTTGTGGCCAGTGGGCAGGGTAAAAAGGCCGCTGCAATACTTCTCCGGTACCAGGACATCGGCATTTTTCGGCCGTCTTACGGTAATCTTGGTGCCCATCTCCTCTTCCGGAACAATAAACCTATTCTTTTGCTGTCTGCAACATGTCGGCCGGTCGCAATTGAGGCAATCAAGAGAAGTCTCAAGCTTGAGGCCGCTGCGATTGACGTTTTACAGGGGGAGTTGACCCGACCAGAAATTCGGATCATCCGCATCCCCATGGAAAAATCTCTAGCCTCATCCCTCGATCTGATCAAGGTGTTCCCTTCAGTCAGGGATGTACCCAACTCAAAATTGGTTCCATCGTTGGTATACAGTGGATCTCGAAATCGCACTTTAACAGTCATGGACGTCATCGATCGAGCTCGCGAGACCCCGGGTTCTTCGTTAGATCCACACAACACATGTATCCGACGCTATCACTCGTGCACTGGTGATCTAGACAAAGTGCGCTGTGTGGATCAATTTTCCAAAGAAGAATTTCCGATCATTTCGGCCACGATGGCACTCGGGTTGGGACAGAACTGGAAGCGGGTCAGAATGGTTGCACACATGGGCCGAGCGGATCCAGCTCAAATTGCGCAGATGATTGGTCGATGTGGGCGCGATGGTCGGGATGGTTTGGCTTTGCTATTTATGGAAAAAAATAGGAGATCTGGGAAGAATTCGGTGGACCAGTTCAAAATGGGGTCGGCCCAGACGGATGAGGACCGAGTCGATGCGCTGGCCATCACTCCTGTATGCCTGCGAGTGGCATTCTCCTTGGATAACCTGTAGGTCTGGTTTGATTGCTTGTTCTTTCGGGGTTAGATGCAAACTAACATGCATTGTTTGGTTGCATCTCACTTAACAGTCGCGGATATGTTCCACTCCGATTTGATGATCCTGAATACATCAAGGAGGTGGCACGGGAAGCTAAGGAGGGGTTCCGAAAGTGCCAATGTTCTAATTGCGAAGTGGCTTCGTCAGACACTCTCGTCAAGAACCTACCACTGGCTGATGAAGACAACTTTGACGACATCCTGGCCAACAATTTCATTCCTCATAGCCTCCCGGACCTTACGTCAAAGTATCCCAAGAAGAAACCTGTGGCTCGGAAGCGGAAATATTCGGCAGAAGAGATGACAAATCTGAATACTCTCAAGACCGTTCTGATCGATGAGATGCGCGAATTGTACGAGTCGGTAGTCCAACCTGGTGGGGCCTTTGCCGCCAGCGACCTGTTTGGACTCGAGGAGGCTGACTCCTTGGCTCTGAACTATCTCTCGATAATCACCCCGGAGGACGTTTGCTCATACATTGGTGGGCAGTGCTTTGCCGGCCAGCTACAAAGGCTGGCTGACCTCATCTCTAAGTTCAAGCTCTCAAACGGTCAAATGGCCCATGGGCCTCGCCCCAAGGCCGCCAAATTGACTCAATTAGACGCGCAATTGGATACCAATCCGGCCGAGACTGCTTTACAAGGCTCGGCGGCCCTGGTCGACACTCAAGATGGAGGAAATGAAGGACAACTTAGCGAAACGGTCTTCGGCCGCACAATGACAAAGAAGGAAATGGCTGCAGCAAAGAGGGATCAGAAACAAGCAGAGCGAATAGAAAAAGCTCGGTTGAAGGAGATTGAGCTTGAGCGCAACCGGCAGAGGAAACAACAAGTAGCTGGGATAATGGCGGATTCATGGGCGGAACATATGCAGGGGCCGTCGAGATCAAATATAGACCCCGACCTGCATAAGTTATAGATCCTCCGACGTGTCTCCATCAGTTTCTTCTTCTTCTCCTTCTACTCTCGTGCTTGCTTGGTCGGCGAGTATATGACGACGGAATTTGTTCAGCCTTAAGTCTGTTGTACGAATAGTGCGATGCATTTTTATGATTCCCATGAGATATGTGTTCACCACCCGAGTCACGCCATTATCTCCCCCTCGTCCATATTGATCTAATATGTCTCGATTGTTTCCCATCAAATTTAACATTTCCATTGAGCGAGCGGTGAGATTGTTCTTGTGAGATTGGTAGATCTTCTTTGATCCACAGTCTTCTTTGATTGAGTCTAGTAACTCCTGCAACTTAAGATAAAAAGACCGCAATCGTAATCGATGTCAGCCTGTTTGTCTGATGTAATGACTTGGCCCCAGTGAGATGACTTACCACTTGGATGTTCAGTGAATAGACATCTCGAAGCCGGTCAATCTTTGTTCCATTTCCGGTGTTGTTGTAGAACCATTTGAGCCAAGCGTTATGCGTTTCCAAGTGGAAATCTTTGGCGACAAAATGATCTGGGCGCCCCGATGGAGACATCAATAAGTTGTGCTGGAGGTACTTCTGCAATGCCGGAGGTAGTATGACTGTCAGCAGTAAGACCATACGGGGGAGGTATGAAGAGTAATTGGTCATGCCGGTCAGCGCTTGAGCCATCAGGCACCATTTCTTCCAGACCAGCATGAGCCTGCCGACATCGCCCGCTTTCATTGCCCGAGATGCCTCAACAACACTTGAGAAATCATGTAACATGATTAGCACATTGTGCAATTTAGGGTTTTCCCTTGCCACCGCAGACCGGCGAGCCTCAGGTGAACAAAAGTCATTATAGCAACTGTTCACAATGTTGTTCCAACGGTCGGTAGGTATCGTCTCCAGTTTTGCATCAGTTATTGGCTTGCTCGTCGTCTTCATTACAACCCTGTTTGCATTAGTCAATGAGGCCGAGTATCAGTGATAATTTCCATTTGAAGAAGATGGATAGAGATGACATTTACCGGAGGCAGTAGAACAGTAAACCCTCAAGAACCCGTTCCATCTGGTTGATCATGAGGGTGAAGTCCTTCTTTTGGATTGCCTTGTCAGCCGGGAACCCCAAGGCCTCTAGGAACTGCCATGCACCGCAGTCCGATGAGTCACTAGAATTGCCGAAATGATGGGTAAAGATAGTCGATGCCACATTCCAGAGGGTATGCGCCGCCCCGAGCTGAAATACACAGTTGTTCATACATTCTTGAGGGAATGGATTAGGCATGCGCTGGGCCCTTAAGCAATTGAAGTTTTGAACCGTGCCCAGGTCGCCGTCCATGGGCTGTAGACGGCCAAAGAATTTATCTTCCGAGATTCCCGTTTGTTTGATTATTGACTGGAACACTTGCCCGACCCCCTCTGCACAGTTGTCCAATGCTTCCATGAGCTTGAGCATATGTATAACAGGCTTCTCATGACTGATCTGGTCGACAACTGGAGGGGCCGACGGCACTGCGGATTTGTGGTCCACCGGGACGGCGACATACTTCTTCATGACCAGTGCGATCTGTGACTTCCATACCCGCTCTTCAATCAGGTTATCGTTGGTCGAGGGTAAGAAATACTCCGGCTCAATGGCCAGACCATCGGCCAACCGGATTGCCTCATAATAAGCAGGCAAGGTTAATTCCTCTGAACATAGTGATTTGAGAAGTTTTTGATCAGGCATGTGGATGTAACCCCATGTTCCCCTGAAGGTGTGAGTCCGATTACCAACAGACAAGGCATGGACCTTTTCCACCATGTCTATATTGTCAATACAAATCGAAGGGGCCATGGGTAAACCAGCCTTGCCGGCCATTGCAACCCTCAACCGTTGTTGAGAGCATTTAGCCAACGATCCCAACGCAGATAATGCGGACCATCTTGACGAGCTCAAGCCGATGAAGTTCATGTATTCATGGACCCGCTCGGACATCCCACATGCCAGAAAGCGAACGGCGTTGACTAGCTGGAGGCCATTCGCACGTCGATTCGAAGCAAATGCGATCATCGAACATACGGTTGTGACTACACCACCGGTGCAGGTCAACGTTTCGTTGACCTCATGCAAAAGCGTTTTGCGAACGTTGTCCCCTTCCGCAGGGGGCAACGTTCCGACGCGGTCAGAAATTACATCGAAAGATGTGGTTGGCGTGGTTGGGGTTCCCACAACGTCTTGAAGACCCTTAGCGGATGACACGTTGACGTTGGTAGACTCGTGAGGAGACTGACAGAAGGTCAAAAGAGCAATCATACACCGTTGTAATAACGCATGCCTCCTTGCGCTGTTGAAAAGTGATTGACAAGCTTTGCTACGACGTTGGTAGTTGGTCTGTGACCTCGCGCCTGAGGGGAACGACGAGGCTCCAGTTTCGGAAGGTTGTGATGATGCCCCCTTTCAGTTCCTACAGATCGATGTCCCCTTTCTGCTCCTACAGATCGGTGCCACCTTTCTGTTCCTACAGATCGATGCCACCTTTCGGTTCCTACAGATCTGCAGGTTGTGATGATCCGGGAGCCAGGCCAGCTTTTTGCAGGGTTTTGACACCATTGCATTCCTTCAGATAATCTTCCTTCAAACACACTGCTGAACCGGTTGATGATGATCAACAATTCCAGTTTCTTGCCTTGAGGGTTTGGTGATTGGTTTCGCCTTTTTACTGGGGCTTCTTCTAGCGTACACCGGGAGTTATTATACAGGGATCACGAGTTGTGGAATTGATCGTGGGAAAATAACCAAAACTACATAATTAGAGATAGAACAAGACAAGAAAGAAAGAGTTTTAATAAAGAGATCGTAACCAACACAATTAAGTACAATTTAGACAGGGGAATAGACAGCAATAAAAGAATGAGTGGAAGGACAAGAATGGTAGTTGTGGTTGCAAACCAAAAGAGGGGATGTTTTTTCGTACAAGGTAGATTGAGGATGTATAAGGTAGATGAGATTGAATCAATATCGAGTTGCTAAGAAGAAAAGGGATCAATGCTTTTCAAAGTTATAGATGATGTTCGAGAAAGGAAGTTGATGAGTTTGGGAAAAGAAGTTGGATGAGGCTAGAGTAAAAAGTAAACATCGGTTGGAAAGGAAGTCAAGGCAAATGAGAAGGCGAGTCGAAGCGGAGTCAAAGGTAGGATTTATCTGATGATGAAGTTCACAGGAGGATCGAATTCAATCAGTGAGGAAGGAAGGTGACAAATAGCAGGGAAACAGAGTGTTCATGAGGACAAGAGCGCAGAGGGAAGAAAGTCGGCTGAGTTTTAAGTCAAACTCAAGGGATGCAAGCCCACTTATCAAAGTCTGACTTTGAAAAAAGGAAGGCACTCCTCAGAGGTCATAGCTCAATGACATCATCACTGGAAGGACCTGAGCGTCATCCAGACCCAACACTGTGTCCAAACCATCTGGTTTCCTCAACGTTAGAGTTGAAAAAACCTGAGCGTCCGGCCGCCCATCGGGTCCTCAATATTGTCCCTGCGACAATGGGGTCCTCGAGAATGACCATGCAACGCTTCACAAATTCGTCGAGGGAATCCAAGTGTCATCTCAACGGTCCGGTTCAGACAACTGTCCCGTGAACGCCTGTTGACGCGTTGGGGGGACCTTGGCATTCACAGGACCTCTGAGTTTGACCGACTGTTCCCTGAACGACTTTTCATGGGTCGAAGGGACCTAATCGTCCTACAAACCATCAAGATCCCAACCATCTTGGTCGGCTACAACGTCAACGAGTGGCACCCGTCGGATGACTGTTACACCACCGACGGTGAAACCCTGACGTTCCCTCGTGGTCCCAGCGGTTGCTGGGACGCAGGATTTTTGCCAGAGTTTTGGGAACGTCGGGGGATCTCTCGATCGCTCCTGTGGTGTATCTGCATGCAAAAAAGGGAACCAAGGGCATTGAAAGTTAGGATTGGCTCTGCCCTGCCACATGCTTAAATGAGCACCTACCCAATGAAACCTGAAGTGCAAGCGCGCGTCGCCAGATGTTTTCTTTGCGTAAGCCATCACATCAGCATCCACGGGCATGTCATCGTCCTTGTCATCCGTCAAAAAATCGTCCTCTGAATCATCTTCATCCTTTTCCGAAGAGGTTATGTGCTTTCGCTGCTGCTGAAGCATAGCCAACAAGATGTTGTAAAGGAAGGGCATGTGAGTCGAGGTCATAAGCGCTTCCCGCTTGTCCTTCTCCTCTTGCGAGAAATAGCCCTTAGTCACAGAAGTCGAACTTTGATAGGCACCGTGCGGATGATTGCCCTTTGGGGGCACCTGACCGGCAAGGATCTTGATGGCCTGGATAAAGACAGGGGATAAACAACAGACATGTGCAATTGGAGAAAGCGCAACCGTACCTCTTCTTGAATGAAATCAGCCCAGGCTTGTTGGCCAGGAGCAGACGAGTTCATCTTGTCCCGGATTGCCTTCACTAATACGACTGTGGAGTCAACGGCAGACTCTGCCCAATATCGACGGCGATACGCCAGATCCGAGTTATCAGAATGCAAGAAGTGAAGCATGAATGACTTCGGGGTCATCTTGCATGGTAGGGATTGGAGTAATTCACAGACTTGGATGGCTTTAGCGTCCATTTCGAAGCGGGTAGGTAAATGAGGAGCAGAGAGGTCTATGGGTAGGTCCGATGCACTCTTGATTTTTGGATCAATGTGGGGGGAGGTGAAGACCTTGCCTTCCCGTGGCATACTTATGATACCTTGCTGCTGGTGTCCGATGCCAGTCAATGCCTTGAGAGCTTACAGAATTTGTTACATTCTATGCCGGTCAATGCCTTGGGAGCTTACAGAAATTGTTACTGATACGTCAACAATCAATGATTATGTGTTCAGTTTCATTATACAGCTTCACCTGAGACCGGGCATGGAATTTGTCAGAATTGACATCAAACATACAGATTGTCCGTGTGTCAGACAAGCCGGATCATGAAACTTTGAGTGCAAAAACTCAAGGTGAGATGAAACCAAATGTTGGCATGAGGCCACCAGATAAAATCAGAAAAATCAGGCCTTTTGACTGGTCAAAGAGGCATGACACAAGCTTCAGAGGAAACCATCGGAATTGGGGGGGGAAATATGCTACCACTGAAAATGGCAAAAGCCCCCAGGCCAAATGTGAGACCTGACTTGCAAGTCCCTCCTTCGGAGGCTCGCTTCGCAAGGGGCGCTTCGCGCCAGCCTGTACCAGGCCCTCCAATCGAGGGGCTTGTGTTAAGTCAGAAGTTTGGCTGGTGGCGAAGCCACCCCTCCCGCAGGGAGGGACTTAAGAACTTTGCGGGGGTGCTTGCCTGAGTCCACTCACCAAAACAGGCTGGAAATTTGCTCTTTGAATTTTCCAGCCTGTAGTTTTGATGCTGTCAATCCCAGTGACCAAAACTTAGAAAGAGCAATGCTGTCGTGATTATTAGAGCCCACAACCTCAGCTAGATACCCACAAGGGTTTTTTTAGCAAATTTTTGAAGCCTATCAAGACAAGTCAAGACCACACCCATCTCAGGCTGCGCTTGGGCCCCCAGGCTCAAGTATGGTAAGTTTTTATTTCTTGTTTTTCAGCTTTTCTCTTTTGATTGAAGATATATCTTCAAAAGCAGAGCTGACAGAAGGCAATCCAGGATGCAAGTGCATCTTTCTCTCTGCAGAACCATACATGTAGCTTGCTTGTCCTTTGTCCTTTGAGCTGCAGTCTCTGGAAACTGAACCTGCTTTCCAAAGATTCCCTCAGGCAAGCACCCCCACAAATTAGTTCAAGAGTCCCTCCTTTCGGGAGGGTGGCTTTGCCACCAGCCAGTGCTTTACACCAGCAAACCTTCCACCAGGGGGGACTTAGTTAAGTTAGACCAAAAAAGGAGTTCACTCCAAGATTTCTTGGAGTGCACACCAAAAGGAGCAAAACTTGATGTTTTTGGAGTACCTGGTTGTGCACTCCAAAAAATATGGAGTGCATGTTTGTGCACTCCAAGAATCCTTGGAGTACACATGTCTCTTGTATTCCAAGATGTTACTTCTCAGGTGTTTTTAGGGGTGCAAATCCAAATCCTGCTCACTCCAAGTTATTTGGAGTGCACATACATTAGCCTCACTCCAAAAATTTGGAGTGTTTTCTAGGACCCCAAGGCTGACATCACACTCAATTCATGGTATTTTTGATTCATTGCGCATGTCAGATTTTTTTGTAATTTTTGAAAGCCATAAGGGCCTGGTCAACAGACAGAGAGAGATTTAAATAAACTTTGAGTATTGATCACCAACAAGTCGCCTTAGTTTTGTTATTAATTGTTGGCATTGTTTTGGCTCTTGGATCAATTTTAGTGAGATGGTTGTTTGGAGTATGAGATCAAGGATGTGTGTCAATGGTGGTTGGTTTCAGGGGATATGATATACTGAAGTCTGTAGAGTTCAACTTCATGGATATCTGGCAGTGTGCCCTGCTCCACTGTGTTTAGGAGTGCACCACTGCAGATGATGGAGTGCATGGCTGTGTACTTGTCATTGGAGTGGCCACAAGTGCACTCCACAGAGCACTGCTCCAAAATGGAAAATGGAGTACATGGGATCTGACTCCAATTAACCTGGATTACACCATGGCACACTCCAGGAATTTTGGAGTGCAAGTTCACACACACCTTGTTGGTGTGTGCAGGTTTTTTTTTGGATTGCACAAAGGCAGACCCATTTACAATGATCTTGACAAATATTAAAGCTACCACAATCCAAAGTGTAAAGCTTTCAGATCAAGAATTACAAATTGAAAAGGTAAGAAAAGAATGAAAACATTGGCGAATACAAGCCTCTGAAATCAATGCTGAAAGATAGAAGAGGCACATATTTGGTATCGTCTTGTCTTGTCCTTATTTTGAGCTTGATATCAGGTATCAGTATTTCCTTTGCTTGTGAGAAAATCCACCATCTCGGATTTGGATTTACGAATGCAAAAAAAAGTCTTCATTTTTTTTCTTTTTTCTTCAATACAGCCAAATGTCATGTGTATCAAATATGTTTTTGGTGGGATCATCCCTCTGGGATAATACAGAATACGTGAATCACTTTCCAAAGACAATACGTGTGTATTATCTCATGAAAGTGAGACAACACAAATACAGTATTTTTGGGTATTCAAATTCTGAGACAATACAAATAAACACCTGATACAATGGTGGGCCGCTACACTAACCGTAGCGGTGAGTGTAGCGTAACGCAGCGGAATCACTGTTAGCGATTAGCGTAGCGTAGCGGAATTCCGCCACAACACCGCTAATGCTACGCGTGGGGGCCGCAAAAAAGGGCCCACTACGCTGCGCTACAGCAGTTTTTGGCCGCTTTTTCCGCTAAAAGCGCTGTAGCGCAGCGAAAAACTGCTAAAAAACCGCTAACACTACGGTTTTTGGATGAAAAAAAGCGCCGCTACGCTACGCTTTTTGGGCCAAAAGCGTAGCGTAGCGGCCCACTGCTGCCTGATACCATCTTGTCTTGTCTCTGTTTCAGTGTTGCTGCGACTCAGGTACTCAGACTTGGTTATGTATATGTTTTTGAGGTAAACTTTTATGTGAGACGGAGACCCTGCAGGGATGCCCTCCAGGCTCTCACTTGAAGGGCTTTCACTTGAAGGGATTTTTTAGGCTTGAGTGGGCCTACCCTGTGGCTCCAAATACCAGAACAATATAGAGTTCAAGTCTGTGTTTGAATCAAGTGCAGTACTTCAAACTTTTACTTGTAGAGTATGAATGAACTCAAAGGATTTCAGGGTTCTTTTCATTCAAAATTCTCTGTATACCTATTTATGTAATGAAAATTAATCAGAAAAAAATGAATACCAATTACCTATATAAGTGGTGGTAAAATATGTAACTCATACAAAGCTTGATGATTCTTGAAATATAATTGTGTGTGTTGGAATCTCATTTCTCACCATTTTTTCTATGTTTATATCAGAGGAGTCTAAGCATTAGATTAAATTGTGCCTTTTTCAAGAGACCACTTCTGGGGAGCAGAATTTTTGCCTCAACAAGTGATTGAAGGTGGTTGTGTAGACCCCCTTTAAAGTGCAGAAGGGAGGAACGTAAAAGGCCACAACAATGAACTAGCCACACCTGAGAGAAAGAGCAATCAAAAAGATCCCAGAATCTGGAAAGAACCTAACTGATCCATGCTTGGGGTTTTGGGGAACACAATCCCAAAAAGGGTAGATAGGGAGAGTCCCTTCCAGTACCATCAACGGTGGGCCAGCTACGCTAACCGCAGAGTAGCTAAAATAAGCTAACATTTAGCGTGGTGTTAGCACAATTCTGCAAATTTGCACTAACACTACGCGCGCAGGGTGCCAAAGTTTGTTAGCTTTTAGCATATTTTAGCATAGTGTTAGCATGATTCCAGACATCTGCGCTAACACTGCGCGGGTGCAAAAAAGCACCCACTATGCATACCTAAAGCGCTTTTTAGTGTTTTTTTGGAATTTTTTGCTGCTAAAAGTGCTGTAGCAGTGCACTAAAACTACAAATAAAAAAAGCCACCTGTTAGTGGCGCTACAGCATAGAACAGTGTACCAGTGCGCTAACACTACAGAAAAAAGGGCCCCTGTTGGCGGCGCTACACTAACAATAAGTGGCCCACCACTGGTACCATGCATCACTGTCCAAGGTATACCGTATGGTACAGACAGGTCAGGGGAAGCAGTCTAATTTGAGGTGAGAGCCTGAGTGGCTTGATGCAGATTTATTTTGGCAGGTGAAGGAGTTCTACCTCAAGAAAAATGAGCTTCCCATTCCTTTCCTTCACTGCCCCGGGTACTATTGTGAAGCTATTCTTCTCCTCTGTGATCCTGTGCTCTTTCTTTCTGCATAAGGTATGTTGCAAGAATTTGAGAGCGGTTCAAAGTTTGTGGTTTTTTGTAGCCTGGTTTTTTATCATGTAAGCAAGCAATACTGTATTTTTCTCATTTTTTCTAGATTCTGTTCAGTGGAGGTCTACATAAAACAATCTGTACAGTTTCTTACACATCTGTAGAGATCAATGCATGGAATTATTGGTGCCTCTCCTATTTTTTTCATCCTCAAACTTTTCTTGCAAGATTTTTATCCTGAGCCCCAGGGCTCATATGTATAATGTGACGGTAGGGCTCTTAGATTGGATGAGCAGGTGTGCATTAATCTGGCCATCTTATGTCTGGGAGGGCAATCACTGTTAGTGTTGGAATTTCACTTGTTCTTGATCTCCCTTCTCTTTCTTTTCACAAACATGTCACTCCTTTCTGTATATTAATTATGAATTTGTTTTTCTTATTCATTATGAATCACTTTGTCCCACAAGTTGATCAATCATTTATCTCAACTACTTAAAGATCTCTGGGCACTAAGGAAGTAGATCATCAGTCTTAGCTATTCAAACTGGTCCTGAGTCAACACTTAAGCCTCCTCTCAGCCTTAAATTGAAGTGAACTTCATCCTGTGTTCTTAAGTATAAATAGCATCTATCAGACCTTGTTTGTTTTTGGCCTTGCCAACTTCCCTTTCTCTGCCATAATTTTAACAATCACTTTGGGAAAAAGGTCACTTTTTAAAAAAAGTAAAGACTAAAAAAGGGCAATACATGCCTTTGAAGATGGGGCCCTCAGGCCTTGATTCCTGTCCTACCCGTAGGCCTCTCTGTGAGACAGAGTGCAAGGCTCCCCCACTCCATGGGGCCCTTAGGGGGACTCTCAAGAGGCCTTGTTAAGCTTGGCTTTTTGTGTCCTACACCATCAAACACAAGCAAGCCCTTAATGAACTTTCAATAAACGTCCCAAATTGGAAGTCTGGATTCTGAAACACAACCCTTGATTCAGATTGACAGGATTCAGGAGGAGCCTGGTTTATAGATGGTTGCGTTGGATCCGGATATCCGCTAACAATTTCAGCAGAATCAGGCATCCACATCCGCTTGCGGGTATCCCCTGGCGCTGGCGGGTATCCGCGGATACCTGCCCTCTTACTGGATGACGCCGGCAAGGGGGATTTTTTTCAAAAAACAAGAAAAGAAAAATAACTGGCCCACTACACCAGCTTGCCAGGAGGGATTCCTCCCGGCGAGCTGGATTTCAAACCAGCTTGTCAGCCAGAGGAGCCCCTCCCGGTGAGCTGGTATGTACACCAGCTCGTCGGGAGGGATTCCTCCCAACAAGAGCACCAGCTTGTTGGAAGGAATCCCTTCCAAAGAGCTGGTCTGTGTACCACCTTGCCGGGAGGAACCCCTCCCGACGAGCTGGTCTGTGTACCAGCTCGCCGGGGAGGGATTCCTCCCAACAAGCTGGTGTACATACCAGCTCGCCGGCAGGGATTCCTCCCGGAGGCATGGCCTCTCTGGGCTTAGAAGAGCAATCACTGTTAGTGTTGGAATTTCACTTGTTCTTGATCTCCCTTCTCTTTCTTTTCACAAACATGTCACTCCTTTCTGTTTATTAATTATGATTTTTTTTCTTATTCATTGAGAATCACTTTGTCCCACAAGTTGATCAATCCAGTATCTCAACTACTTAAAGATCTCTGGGCACTAAGGATATAGATCATCAGTCTTAGCTATGTAAGATGGTCCTGAGTCAACACTTAAGCCTCCTCTCAGCCTTAACTCAAAGTGCACTTCATCCTGCGTTCTTAAGTATGAATACATCTATCAGACCTTGTCTGCTTTTGGCCTTGCCAACTTCCCTTTCTCCACCATAATTTTAACAATCACTTTGGGAAAAAGGTCACTTTTTAAAAAAAGTAAAGACTAAAAAAGGGCAATACATGCCTTTGAAGATGGGGCCCTCAGGCCTTGATTCCTGTCCTACCCGTAGGCCTCTCTGTGAGACAGATCTTCATGTAATCTCTCTTCATTTCTTTATATTCTTTCATTTCTTTTATTAATTGCTCTTGATTGCTTTCTCTCCTCTAGTGTTAACTGCTAGTACTACTAGTGTTAGATCAACATTTTGCTGCAATAAAGTTAAAGAACTCAATTAATTCCTACACTCAAACATATCTTCTGCACATTATCTTTCCTTCCCAAATGTCAGCCCACAATCTTCCAGTAATGATCAGATTTGATTCAGTGGTGCAAAAGAGCATCCAATAACTGATTCTGACCATACCAACAATGTCAATACATGATTGTATGAAATGATCAAGGGATGAAATAATGAGGGGCAAAAACATTGATTCAGTAATAACAGTTCTGAGGTCTTGGGTGTGCTCATCAGGTCACGATTTGAATCCCAGGTGACTCCTCAATTTTAACTGTCCTGCAAGACCGCTGGTCTGCTCACTCGCTTCATACATCCCAGTTCCAAAACACCCTTCAGTCGTATTGTTTTTTTTTATCATTCTTCTGATCATATATCATCCTGTTCTTCCTTCCTTCACCTCCCTTTTTTTTCTTTTCAAAAAAAAATAATGTTTTTATACCCACATTTGAGATTTCAAAAAAAAAAAAAAAAGAAAGAAAGAAAGGGAATATTTTTCATAAACAAAACAGTTTCCATACAGATTTATAAGGCCCCTCTATAATCCGCTGTACATAGCACACCAACCGAAACCAAGATCCCAGCACCTTAACATTAGATGCGAGTCAGCTTAGCTTATCTTGGTTGAATAAAAGCCCTCGATCCAGCGGGTGCACACAATCAAGGCCTTCAATCTTCACAATCAATGTTCTTACTCTTAGTCAAGTAAGAAATTGACCACAGGAGAAATCCGCCGGATTATACTAGCTGTACTAGTATTGTGGACCAGGAGATTGTGGTTTCTTGCAGGATGATTCTTGGAACTCTGAGCTAGCTATCCAAACATTTTTTTTTTGGATGGGATGAGATGGTGAAGACCTACAAAGATTAAGATTTGAGGGAGGACTTAGCCAGCTTGGTTCTGCGGCTTCCCACCAACAATGGGCCGCTACACTTATAACCGTAGTGGTTAGCACAGCGTAACGTAGCAGGATTCCGCAAACATTTAGCATAGCACAGCAGAATTCTGCCAAAATGGTGCTAACGCTAAGCATGTGGGCCCCAGAAAAGGGCCCACAATGCTGTGCTACAGCACATTTGAGTGGTTTTTTTTGGCCATTTTTGATGCTAAAAGCGCTGCATGTAGCGTAGTGGCACTCACAGCATCCTAACACTAAAGGTTTGGCGCACTGTTTTGAGGGCCACTACACTAATGTTATAAGTGGGAGGTTTCCATTGTTGTTCCCACTGCCAAGGGCTGGCCACATAGAGAACTGGACCTCCTCGGTATCTGCTAAAAACAAGGGACTTAGAAAGCTCTCCTCCTACTAATACTACTCAGACACACTCTTCTAAGGCCCTAATTATAAACCAAGTTTATGGATTTCTGCTTTTTTTTTTATAAGTATTTGAAAAAAAATAAGTATCAAAAAACTTTTCTCAAAACCTACTTGAATAATGTATGTACTTATAAGAAACCGCCTGGGTCCAGGGGGCCAGTAGTGATAGGTCTTGGAGGAATGACCAGGATCTCGGACCCATGCAAGCTGTTTGATAGCTGCTTGATCCGGTCCTGACTCCCGGAGTCAGGCCCATCCAGACTCCGCCACCTCACTATTCCTAAGAACCGCCACTTCTTCATGTGACCAACACGTAAATGGGGGCCCCAGACAATCGAGTCTCTGTTGTGTGTGAGCACTTGACAGGTAATAAATAGTTAAGACTATATACAAGCATCACTCAATAATGGAAGGCAAAAGTTCTCAACAGACAAAACCAGGTGGTCAAGTACATTTCTGGCTGGGAACCCATGCTTAGGTTGGCATATCAACACAGGATGCATCAGCTTTGGTCTTTGCATGCCAAACCGGGTGGATGATCTTGGTGGATGGGGACAGACTCCAACATGGTGTGCTCTGTGGAGTTAGGATTGGCACATCCATCCATCTGTATCTGGTGAGACTTCCCCCACAGTATGACTTGATATAACCATACAACAGAATCCCCACCAAACTTCTATAATCTAGAAGCTTTTGAGATCTCATTAAACCACCTCTGCCAGAGGTGGTTTGAAACTTTTTTTGGGCAGGTTTTTAAAAAAAATAACATTCAAATACTTTTCAAAAAAAAATGTCAAATAAATTTCAAAATATTGTTTTTAATCAGGGCCTATAAATGGAAAGAAAAAAAAGGTGTATTTTTGGTAGGGCATCATGAAGAGGAAGTAGAGAGAAATACAGTTGTTGGATAATTTAAAAAGAAGAAGATCTTGAGGGTAGAGTTACATGAACTAGTACATAGATCTAGTGTTTGTTGAATGAAAATGGAATCAGTTGTAAGAGGGCAGCTTTTATATGTGAGTCAATAAAATATGTGATTGTAAGAACATGAGAGTTTACTGGAGTTTAATTTGATTGAAGAGACTTTAGAGAAAAGCAATAGAGAAGAGTTATTGAGGATACAGTTATATAAGGGAAGACATCAATCAAAAGCGACTGATTGAAAGAACTTTTGGAAGAGAATTCAGGAGACCATTTGACCGGTGACACCGATTTTACTAGCGACCCATCTCGCGAGTTCAGCATTAAGCCAATTGAGGCGACTAGCCATGACGAGGGGAAGGACGTGAGAGATGGGCCAGATGACGCCGGGCTGATCCTGATCGACGGCGAGTTTGATGCGCTGGGCCATTTGAGAGGGGTCGGCGAGGCCGAAGCTGGGCATCGATGAGCCGGCCGCTAGCATGTCCCCCGTCATCCCCGACTCGATAAAGCCCGGACAGATGCAGCTGACTCGGATCCCATAGGGCCTCGATAAAGCTCGCAAGGATTGCGAAAACGAGAGCAGGTTCGCTTTCGTCGCCGCATACACCGCAAATTGCGGCGGCCCCTGAAACGCAACCGATGACGAGAGGATGCATATCTGCAGTTTATATTCCCTCTCGATCTTCATCAGTCTTCGCTTCAGGCCTTCTGGGGTTCTTATACTCTGTGCTTATAACTTACATTTCCAGATCGTTGTTTCTTCATCAACTCCCAAGCGGTCATGATGAACGTATAAGTAGAAGTGACGTTGATTTTGTTTAATCTTTTCACAGTCTATAAGGTCCCACCGCGAAAAAAAAAAAAAAACCTGATTTCAATCTGAGATAAGGGAAACTGGGATGTATATAGGAAGAGCGACAAACGTTTTCGCCCCATTGTTGAGGCCCAAGAGGATCGTCGTCGGTGAAGGTGACGGTGCCAGTGACGCTGAGGAGGAGGTCGATTGAGCCGTACTTCTGATGGGCGTTGGTGATGACGAGCTTGATAGCCTGCTCGGCGTCGTCGTGGGAGTAATCGATGGAGTGAGTTTCGACTGCCCTGCATCCGGCATTCCTGGCGACTTTTGCGATCTGGTTGAGTCTGGCCGGGTTCCTGGCCAACAAGACGAGGATGGTGTTTGGGCCGGCATAGGTCTGTACTAGACTGGCCCCGATGCCTGAGCTTGCGCCCGAGAGAATGATCACCCTTGGATTAGAGCTACTAGCACTTAATGTCGGATGATGGTGTTGGTCAGATGATGAGGAGTCATGTGGCTGTTGTTGTTGGGAGCTGATCGCTCGAAGGAATGGCTGGATGAGGTTCTGGAGCAGACTCCGAGCCAGGCCTAGTGGGATCCAGACATACAGCGTGAGGATGCAGTCGAGAAATGCAGTGATGATGGTGCCGATGGAGATGATCAGGTTTTCGAGCGCATAGGATAGGCTGGGGAGTGAGCCGAGTCTCTTGAATGGGAACTCGGGTGGGGCTAGTCCGTTGATGGCGATGGTGCTCGTGGAGGGCGGATGGGATGCCTTGGGAAGCTCGTCTGGGTTCGTTGTAGTCCGCATCGTTCTATTGTTTTAGAGTTTACAATCTGTAATCTGTTTGGTTTTTTTTTTGGTTTTTGAAGGGAAGATGGATGGTTTTTGCTTGCCAACTTGGATCGAGGCTTCTTTATAAGCTGTCCTAGTTGACTGGATTCTCAAAATCGAGGGAGAGCCTCACTTCGCTTTGGCGCTTGATTATGTATCCGCACCCGAAGTTTCGAGGCGCATGAAATACTTTACATAATTAGAAGAAGAGGTGCCTGAAAGAGGGGGAGGATCTTCCCATCGATAAGCCAGTCTGTAATTGGTCGAACGGAACGGTTATGACATCATCGGGATCTTGTTATATTACACTGCCGGGACGTTTTGTACCAATTTGTTCAGTCAACGAGAATATAACCTCACCCTCTATAATCGAACATCAACAATGCTTTATTTAAATACAACATTCGCAGTGCTTGCAGTGTGTCTGTATCAGACAACAGACCAATATATCCAAGCAAGTGACCCGCGAGAATGCGACAGTGAAAGATTGACCTTGTTCATTTGTTTATTATTGTCAAACAAAATGCGCTGCAGACTACCGGACATTGAAATCTACACTAGAGGATGTCGCGCTGAACTCAAGCTCAGGTTCATGAATCAGGTCTATTGTACCGGAATGAGGGCCGTTGACGATCTCGGCCTCATGAAGAATGTTTCGGCTGAATATTCAGCTTGATTATAAGTTTGGTACCATTATTTATGTAGCGAGGCCATCCTTTAAGCAAAGATTCCTCAAGAGCATAGCATAATCGGCTGCATGGCTCTTTTCAAGCCAAGCTGCCTAGCTTCCGGAAAATTAGCAATGTTTATATGTGACGGTATTCAGGATCTCTTCATGTACAGCTCTCATGTCTCGCTTGAGTCCGTCTTTTTATCCAGGGAGACAGAGAAAGATGTCTTCCGAGGAACCAAGCCTATAAAGCACTGATCGTTGATTGTATCCTCTTGAGGTGCTTATTCAATGGCCTAATAATATCGGTCCTCGACTGTCCAAGGAGGATTCGCGATCGCTAGTGGGGTTTGAAGCGGATGGAGAACTCCCTATCGAATCAGACATTCCGTCGGAGATGAAATTTAAAAAGGCCATAGCTCCGAATTAAGCATCCACATCTTCGCTTGAACAAAGGCGTCACATAGCTCTCTTCATCACTACGGGTAAAATCTGCCCAGTCGATGAATGTGATGACTTCTCTGATCCGGATGAGCGGAGGGAGCAGATGACTCAGGTTCGATGATCCATGGAGATTATATCATGTTATATTATCTTAAATGAACTATCGATGACGAAGTGGCTGTGAATACATAACAAGATCATATGAAAAGAAAGTTAATCCAAAAATATCTCAACTTCCCAACTACATAAACCATCAGCCCCCATCCTCATCATCAAACCAACCAACAAAAACAACGATGACCATCAACCATCGCAAGACCACTTCAACCTCAACAACAACCTACTACCACTCAACAACAACAACAACCATCCATCATCAAAGGAGAGCAACCCACCAACAAGAACACCAGCCAGCATGGACTTCAACTGCACTCCATTCCAGCCTCATCCGACCACATCCATCCCATCAAACACTCACCCGACCACTCACCCCGCTCCTCACCCTGGCCGCATACGGCTCCCTCATCATCACCGCCCTCTCCGCCCTCATCGGCCTCATCCTCGCCAGCTATGGCCTCTCCGCTTGGGACGACGCCAAGGATCGACTCACCGGCGTCCGCGCTCTCATCGGCAAAGGTCGACTCCTCGTCGGAAAACATTTCGTCGTCAGTCTCTTCCTCAATCCCTTAATCTTTAATTCAATCGTTGACTCATCACTCCTCATTTTTTTATTATCTCTAGACCCCAACGGCTTTCCTCCAGTCTTCTGTCGAGCCCACTAATCACACAACGATCCCCAGACGAGCAGCACCAGAATGGAGCTATTCGACCCCAGACGGGCTGAATTCTACAACCGGATACGAAGTCCATCCAAAAGAAGAAGACGACGAGGACGAGGATACGAAGCTGAAGGACTGGGATGAGCAGGAGACAACCAAGCCATCTACAGACCCTCTCCCCAGTCCGCCGACCAGTCTGCCCCCTCGCCCGCCGATCTCGGTGCTCATCGCCAGTCTCTTCCTCACCCTCATCGTCCTCTCGGCCCGCTTGTTGGTGGTCTGGTGGATGGGCCAACAGGCCCAGAAAAACTCCTCCCTCGCCTTCCGGAACGCCCAGCGCGCCTTCGAGGCTGCTCACGATCACCATCAACTCCCGCTCAATCATCATCATCATCGACCTCATTCCTCTTCCACTCCTCCTCATCCTTCCTCTCCGAACAGGCTTCCCAAATCCTCGTCCTCTTCTTCTATCTCCTCCAATCACTCGCTCTCTCAAGACTTGTAACCAACTTCATCAAGAACCCCGGCCGCCCCAGTTTTGTATTCTTATCAGCTGTATTTTTTTTTTTCGGGGTCGGGTTGGCTCGGCTTGTGATCTTGTAGATGGCTTTGTTGGGTGACTTATATATATGTATATATATGTATCATTATTATCATGATTGTTGTTGTTTTTTTCTGTACTACCTGTCTCGCCATTCACCTCCACCTCCACACATCCTTCTATCCCCATCCTCATCCACTCTTCTGATGTCCCTCACCACCCACCCCAAACAAAACAAAAAAGAAATCACCCTCCCATTCGATTTCTCTTCATCCCTCTCTCTCTCTCTTCTCCTCATGATGTATTGCTCTGTTTTTTTTTTCTCCTGACCCCAGGACCTATTTTCATACACACACACAGATATATATATATATATATACTACCTTTATTACGATGTTGGAGCCACTAATTTGCGACACCGCGCAAAAAAAAGAAAATAACAACGACCACCAGGTTCTTTTTTTGTTTTTTCATTCTGGTCAGCGGAGGGGCGGTGGATGTGTGACATAACATCTGTTCTTTTGTGTTGTAACCTCCCCATTGTGTTGTAACCTCCCCAACCAAAAAAAAAGAAAAGCAAATCTATCTCCTTAATTAGTGATACTACTAACTAAGACCATCAAGTGATGTATCCACTTGAGATCAAACAAACAACCCCCCCTGAGCGCTGATCAGAGGTATCTCTTCACATGGTGTAGAC